CGTACGATAATTTTACGCCCCTGTGTCGATCAAACGAACTAAAGTCTCTGGGATCACTGTATATATATCTATATATGCCCGCAACCATTGACAAGAAAGCAAGTTGTCGATGTATCGAATTTCTCTGTCCGTTTTATATAGTACATTGTAAATTTAAAAATTTATTTTATTTAATAGATAGAAAATATGGCAGCGTTCGAAGGTACGATAAGATTATTTTTCTTTAAATCAAAATGAATTATGTGTATATATATACATTTATCAAATCAATGATCATAAGATCAACATTTATTTGTATTAATTAATATTTATAAAATAGGAATTAGATTATTATTGTATTAAATCTTAACTTGATTTTTATTGCTCTTTTCAGAAATGGGTGTTCTTTCTGAAATAGCGCAAGCTGTTGAAGAAATAGATTGGATGTGAGTAAGATTGTATAGTCATACATAATGAAAAATATTTTCTTTGATTTCCATTAGGATGCAAATAAATTGATTACAATACTTCATTTATTACATTTTAAAATTAAAAATAGGCTCCCGACGGATGTACAGGCAGAAGCTATTCCTTTGATTTTGGGTGGAGGTGATGTTTTAATGGCTGCAGAAACTGGAAGTGGAAAAACTGGAGCATTTTGTTTACCAATTTTGCAAATTGTATGGGAAACTTTAAAAGATATGGAATCTGGAAAAGTTGGCAATACTACGAAAGAAGTAGCACACTGTACTTGTTACTATTTCTTAAATAGAATATAAGAAATATACGTGCTATCATTTATACTTTTTAATAGTGTTTAACGATAGCCATATAATTATGTTTAGCCACGCATTGGGGATTAAGTTTATTCGATAGAGGTCATGCTTTAGCCATCACACCAGATAGTTTAAGATGTCAAAGTCGTGAGCAGAGGGAATGGCATGGATGCCGTGCCAATAAAGGAATACAAGGAGATGGAAAATATTTTTTTGAAGCTATTCCAACAGATGAGGGCTTATGCCGCGTGGGTTGGTCTACGTCTCAGGTAAGTTATTATATTTGGTTATTAGATTGATATTGGCGGGTCCAATACCTATTAACATCCTCATTGGTTTATGACATTGAAATCTCAAATTATTATATTCTCCAAGTTATTGGACCTCCCTATACAACACAATGAACGAGAAAATTGACATTTTGAAGCTGGTACAATTGTAACAAGTTATTATAATTTAAACAGGCCTCTTTAGATTTAGGAACAGATAAATTCGGCTATGGTTTTGGAGGTACTGGTAAAAAATCAAATGCAAAGCAGTTTGATAATTATGGTGAACCTTTTGGAATGCATTGCGTGATTGGATGCTTACTTGATTTAACAAATGGCAAAATATCTTTCACAAAAAATGGTGTCAATCTAGGGGTAGCTTTTACATTAAATTCTCAACAGAAATCACAAACATTTTTCCCAGCTGTTGTATTGAAAAATGCAGAAATGTCATTTAATTTTGGTGCTCAACCATTTAAGTATCCTCCACCAAATGATTATGTTGCTGTATCTTCGGCTCCAAAAGAACGCGTAAGACTTAATCCTGTTAACAGTAATAGCAGTCAAAGAGCAGAAAGCAACAAGCCTATAAACAATGCACCACAGGCAATAATTATTGAACCTTCTCGGGAATTGGCCGAACAAACCTTCAATCAGATACAAAAGGTGAATTGTATAACTTGTCTGCTGATATAACTGTTTTCATTTCTAAAGAAATATATTATTTTATTTTATATTGATTTTTAGTTTAAAACACATTTAAAAAATCCTATCGTTCGAGAACTATTAGTTATTGGAGGAGTAAGTGTAAAGGAACAAATTTCGACTTTAAATTCAGGAGTTGATATAGTAGTTGGTACACCTGGACGTTTGGAAGACCTGATACAAGGAGGATACATGTCATTGACACATTGCAGGTAATAATTCTATCTAAAGCTGAACAAATCTTTTTCAAAAGAATTATTATTAAAAGATATATACCCGTGTATAGATTTTTTGTATTGGATGAAGCTGATGGATTATTAAAGCAGGGATATACAGAACTTATCGACCGCTTGCATAAACAGATTCCTAAGATTACATCAGATGGGAAAAGATTACAAATGATAGTATGTTCAGCAACTTTACATTCGTTTGAAGTTAAAAAGATGGCTGTAAGTTTGAATTATTTTATACTATTATATTATTTAAAATTGTTTTACATAAATAAAACTATTTAATAATAACATTTTGTAACTTTCATTGGTGCATTTAGGAACGTTTAATGCATTTTCCAACGTGGGTTGATTTAAAAGGAGAAGATGCAGTTCCCGAAACTGTTCACCATGTCGTAGTGATGGTAGATCCTCAAAAAGACAAATCATGGCAAAATTTAAAAAGACATATTGAAACAGACGGAGTGCATAGTAAAGATAATATCAGACCTGGAAGTAACACAGCTGGTTAGTATTATCTTCTTTAAATGAATGATATTACCTTATTGGTTACACAATTTCATCGATTGGTTTTAATTTGTTTACAGAAGTATTGTCAGAAGCTGTTAAAATATTGAAAGGAGAGTACTGTATCCGTGCTATTAGGGAGCATAAAATGGATAGAGCATTAATTTTTTGCAGATCCAAACTCGATTGCGATAATTTAGAACGTTACTTTAAGCAAGTAGGAGGAAATGAGCTCTCGTGTGTCTGTCTGCATGGCGATAGAAAACCGCAAGAACGTAAAGCAAATTTAGAGAGATTCAAAAGAAAAGAAGTAAAATTCTTAATTTGCACGGATGTAGCGGCAAGAGGTCTTGATATAACTGGTTTGCCATTTAGTAAGTATTAAATATTAGTAAATTATTCAATATGAAAGACTAATACAATACTATTATTGTTTAGTGATCAATGTTATTTTACCCGATGAAAAATCTAATTACGTGCACCGAATTGGTAGAGTCGGCAGAGCCGAACGAATGGGTTTGGCTATTTCCTTAGTTAGCAGTGTACCAGAGAAAGTATGGTATCACGGTGAATGGTGTCATTCCCGTGGTAGAAATTGTCGTAATAGTAATCTCACTGATCAAGGTGGATGTTGTATTTGGTATAACGAACCTAGAGTAAGATATTAAATATTTTCTTTATATTATAGCTGCTTAACTGGCATAGGCAGTTCGATTTAAATCGTGCATTACCGTAAATAAGTAAACATTTATTTATTCGTGTTTACAGTATCTGGCAGAAATTGAAGATCATTTGAATGTAACGATCGAACAAGTTGGCTCGGATATAAAAGTTCCTATAAATGAATTTGATGGAAAAGTCAGTTATGGAGAAAAAAGAGCAGCTATGGGTAAGTAGTTTGCAATTGTTTCCGAACAAATAATGATGTTTTAATTATTAATAATAAAAACATATTATTCTTAGGAACCAATTACGAAAATCATGTAAATCAAATGGCACCCATCGTTGCCGAACTGACTGCATTAGAATCAAAAGCACAATTGATATATCTAAATAGGCATTTAATAGTGCATTAAATAGAATATATTAAAGTATTCTTTAATAACTTACCTTTGCATCGAAATATTCCGTTATATTGTTTAACTTAATATGTGATCAAGTTGTATTGTATAATGGTAAATATAGCAGCATATAAAACATATTTTTGTGTGCGTATTGTAAATGCTTTTTTAACTGTACGACTTGTACAATTTGAAAGGATTGATAAAGTATACTTGGTGTACTTACTGTCACAGAAACAGGACTTAAAAATTCATTTGACTAATCGATTGCCACCAAAACATTTGCAATTTATATAAGACATATGGTAAGTATTTATTGTATCATTATAATTTTCCATAATCGCATCGTTACTATTTTAGTTACACAAATGTATTATACAGTGGCTTTACAGCATTTGCTTTTGTATTCTTTTTATATTAATATATGCGTAAATATATATTAATATAAATTGATTAAATGACTTTTTCCGTTTAATTACACATAACTATGATATATTTTCAAAATCAATGTTAAAATACTAAATTTAAACAGTATATAAATAATACTGTTTTCTTTCTATATACTAAGATAATGTGTTCAGATGGAACGCTTATGTGTTTATATTGTTCGCTGACACATACGCAAGGCAGTCAACATGTCTACTTGTTTTCGTGTACATGCAAACGAAATACGCGTGACCATTTATTTAAAAGGTTTCTTACGAAGTTAGTACAACGACTATTAATTAAATCTTTATTAGCTAATTTCATTGATTAATCACTTAGTTTATATTTATGTAAAGTTTTTATATTTTCTTTCTTCATATTCGGACAGTCATCACAGAATAAGAATGAAATATTTTTCTTTTAATTTAGAAACATGATTGCAATTACATACATATGTACTTACATACGTCTCTCTTATTCATATTTTACTACTCGCATATGGCACTCACTCGAGCATACATTCAATCGCAATTAATTTAAAGAATTGTGTATATATGTATATATGTATATATATTATATATTTGTATATTTATTTATTTTTATTTATCTATTATATTTACTACATATCCACCTCACGATTCGTACTGATATGGCACTACAAAGTTTTTGTCTTTCTAAATCATCCAAGGTGACGTAAACTTTATGCTTCACACTTAACTTGTATAATTTTATGTTTATTTCTCTCTCTCATATCCAGTATTTTTTTCTCTCTCTCTCTTTCTTCCTCTCTCTTTTTCTTAATCTCTCTTTGTGTACTTCTATCAAATGGTCATTGATTGAAATTGTTTTAAAATTGTATACGAATTTTTAGAAACATGTGCCAAGGAATTTTCGTGAACATATAAGAATCGTAAAGTGGACAACATCAATTTGATTCCCTACATGAGATTCACGAATTTAATCATTCACTCAGATCGTATCTACGCTTTGCGCGGGATTCGCTCTCTTTCTAAATAATCACTTTCATTAAATATTATTATTATTATTAATGTTTTTTTTTATTTCCCCTTCTTTCTCCTACTCTTTCTCCTTTATTTTCTTTACGTAGTGATAATAATCCTCTTTAAATCTTTACCTAGACATCTTTTCTAAGATACACGCAACAAAGAATTTATTTAAGGTAGAGGAGAAAGGGATGATTTAAGAGATGTAATATTGACGAGCTGGTAACTCCATTTTGGTTTCATTTCTTGCTCACATTTGACACATTGTGTACACATTTACGTACGAATAATTAAGTGATTCGTTCGCATTATTGCCAGAACGAAAAGTGAATCCTTTTTTTCGGGTATGTCTCTTTGTATAATATCCATATATTTTTTTCTTTTCTCTTTTTTTCTTTTTTATACTTTTTTAAATCTTGTATTCTTATCAAAGTCTCTCTCCTTTATTCCACCGTCTACACATAATTCGTCGGTTGAAACGCAAATAGTATTATGAATTTTGTAAATAGATGGATTAAATCCTTCTTAATTTACGCGTAACGCACAGATTAGTAAACGATCGAGATATATTCATTTTCGAAATAATCGTGTTGTCTTGTTTGTTTTGTCTTTTTACTCTTTTTCAATTCACACATTTTGCAAACTTCTAGACGATGATTCATTTTAAACATCGACGCCTTCTTTTTTCTTACACCTTATATGAACAGCACTAAAAAAATTAAAAAAGAAAATCACTTTTCGAACAGCACCGACGATTAATCACTGCACACATATTTTCCATTAAAAATTATACTATTATATTTATTTACAATGATGTTAGAGACGTAGTCTCAGTTTATTTTGATTACTTAATGTATATTTTATAGGATAGAGTTGGCGCGCTCGAGGCACAAGTAGCTTTCTCTCATTCCTCTCACATTTGAGCGGCTTCAGATTGGAAGAGAGTATTGCGAATAAGATTAAAACAAATCAATAATATACTTTTTCAAGTTTAGTAAGCACAAAATTATTTTAGAAAATGAAACGTATATATTCGAACGTATATACGTACCAAATTACCGAATAGTGAAAGGAAATGATTGGAAATAATACAGACAAAGACACAATATAGGATCGATAAATCCTTAACAAGGGAATAATCTTTGTCTCTTTAGAATTGTAGAACTGTAATACCACTAGTGTTACTATTACAATTACTACTACTAATACAACTATTCCTACACAACTGCTACTACTATTACTACTTCTGTTGTACTACTACTAATACTACTAATCTACTACTAACTACTAATATTACTTCTAATCTACTACTACTACAATTACTACACTACAACTACAACTACAACTACTACTACTGCTACTACTTCTAATAATAATAATAATAATAATAATAATAATAATAATAATAATAATAATAATAAAAAAAAAAATAATAATAATAATAAAANACTTCTAATAATAATAATAATAATAATAATAATAATAATAATAATAATAATAATAATAAAAAAAAAAATAATAATAATAATAAAAATAATAATAATAATAATAATAATAATAATAATAATAAAAATAATTTATCTTTTCATACAACCCAATCATAGATTGCTTCATTTTCATTTCCCTCTTCGTGTTTTAACAATAATATAATCGTCATTAACGTGACGGTGACGATAACAAAATAGTGTATAGAATTAGTTTTAGTAAAATTCGACTGTGTAAAAACAATTTTGGATCAATTAACAATTGTTTAAGTTAAATAAAGATGATCACAATGGAACGATCCTTTGTCCTTGATTAAAAAGGAGTCGAATTATTCGTTGAATAAAATAATAATAATAATAATAATAATAATAATAATAATAATAATAATAATAATAATAATAATGTAATAGGTGTTGTACGAAGTGACGTTGACGTTGAAGAAAAAGCTACGATATATTGCCTGATCCCATTCTCATGTCCAAGTTATATAATTGAACATAGTTACACCCTTCACAAGGACACATTGAAAGACACATCAAATCGCTATATATACATGTTCTCACCTCACACTAGAATTATTTCCAATCAGCCTATATCTTTACTTTAGTCCTTTAAAGTTAATAATAAATGAAGAGCAAGGAGGCTTGCAAAGCAAATCGATAGCAAAAAAGCTTGACAAAACGAAGGAGAATAGCTTGCAAATGACATTAAGAATGACTCTTTTACAATTTGTTTTTTAGAGATGGCAAGCACGTTCGTGAGGAACAAGTTACACACTTTACTTTAAGAAGATAAACATTCCTACTACATTTTTTAGATTAAATCGCTGATTTTCTTTTTAACGCAATCCTGACGCAAGTTCGTTTTCATGCTATTTCTTTAAAACGTTTTCTTGCACGCTTGTATTTGTATGTGACATGTGCGCATTCGTATGGAATCGTATAGCATATAGTGTATGTTTTTACAAGTGTCGAGTATATGCGTTTGTTTGGTGTGCCTGCAAACGATACACGGAAATTATCGGTACACTTTATACACGCACAGCATACAATAATAATCTTAGGATTACAGGAAACATGTTTTTTCCTCTTCTCCCTAACTCGGTTTGCTTCTTCGGAGCAAACGAATATATATTATACGTATATTGTATACATAAATTTATATTATTTTTTTTTAATATCTAATACGAATCCGTGATCTTTGTATTTACAAATAAAAATTGCTTGCACCACGGTAAATATACTCACATATTCACATAATCATTTCACTGTACGTATATGATAGTAATAGAAGAAAATAACAAAATTGTGCGATCTGCGTATATATAATATACATTGGTATTATTAATCTTGGGACCACATACATAAATTGGCTACTAATTCGGTATTTGTCGGATTCGCTTACGTACACGCACACGCAACCATAATTACATATAATAAATGTATTTTTTTTCTTTTTTTTTCTTATTAGCTTTTGAAGCAATATCAAGTATCTTTTTATGTTATAGCGTTGCGGTCGGGTACCCCGGACGATTGATTAACGTGCAACTACATACTCTTAGTAGTTTTTCCGTTTTCTCTCTTTTTCTTTTCCTTTTATTTGTTTCTCTAACATACGTACTAATTTTCTATCAATGATTATATTTAATGAGAGAGAAAGAGAGAGAGAAAGAAAGAGAGAGAGAGAGAAAGAAAGAGAGAGAAAGAGAAAGAGAAAAAGTCCCGTCTTGATGAAAGACAAACTTATATACGTTCTTTTTAGCATTCGATTATTTTACGTGGACATTACTTAGCCTCTTAGCTAAAAAAAACAAAGAGAAAGAGAGAGAGAGAGAGAGAGAGAGAGAGAGAGAGAGAGAGAGAAGATTTTTCTTCAACGTCTCTAAACAATTAACTATGTAATATAGTGTTGTGACAATGCTACTAACAAAGCATACGTAAAATACAGATTTGTTTGTTTAGATATGATGGAAGTTCATGGAGAATATGTATTTTTTTTAAAACAAACTCTTCTCTCTTATTCTCTTCAATAAAGCACTCACGCACTCTCTTGCACTTTTTTATCATCATCCACCTTAACAAATATAATAAAAATAATGATTCGCACAGAGATATAAATAAAAGTACGGACTATGAGTTGTGTTTCTTAATGTATTTAGTATGATAGGTACACATACATGTATTAGCGCACCCATCAATATCGATACACAAAAATACATTTAATGTAGATGTATGTAGATGTATGTATATATGTATGTGGGCAAGTATACATGCACAGGGTATCCGTTTTAACATTTTTATCATTAATCGACAAATTCTATTTTGTACTACGAACTACGTCAGTTCGACACTAGGATTTATCTTCCTTTCCTTTTCCTTCTTTTTTTTTTTTTTGTATTTCTGTCTCTTCTCTATTCTTTTAGTCGCGAGTCTAAAAAGAACTTGGAACGATCTTTCAGAGGCAAGCGAAGGAATTTTCAAAGGAAATTTAACAAATACTTCGACAAATCTCTTATACGATGCTCAAGAGATTTACCCTTTTATTAATTCCACTTTAGTGCGTAATAAAGGACTAGGATTAATTGATTAAAAAGAATATTCGATACAGTGTAGTGATTTTGCGCTAAAAAGGAAGAATGTTCTACAACACTCGAAGAGATTATAAATGAATCAACTAGTATGATATCAGAGAAACTTTTTCTAGAAATACTAGAGATAAAGTTTGGGTCTGTAAAGTAAAATATAGAATGTACAGACTACTATCGCATTGTGTCTGAAAATTTAAAAAGAAATGTAAAAAAGAATAAAAAGAAGAAGAAAAGCACTTGGAGGGCTATTTCAACATTTTCAGTGTCAGCCGTTTATCTTTATGTGTAAGAAATAAGAACGACGTTTATAAACGTGTCAAGTCACTGCTTTATGTATAATGGTTTTCATGTCGCTCATTTTTTTTGTAATAACACGGAGACCCTTAGCTGTATGTAATTTTACAACACAATATTTAAAAAAAAAAACGTATGTAGTCAAAATTAAGGGGAAAAGTAAGCTCATTTCTTTCCATATACACAGGGTGTTCCAAGTGTTAAAAATAAAATCACGAATTTCGTCGCGTTTTATGAGAGAATACTTGACTCGTATTATTCTACCCTTTCAAAGTTAATAGAAAGAAAGAAGAAGCAAATAAATGTGTAAATGAAAAGAAACTTATTTTAAAAAAGCTACGCCGGACGGTAACGAACATATTCTCTCTCGACAATTAGATTTAAAACGAACATTTTTCCTATTTTTTTCTCTCGTCATTAAATGTACTCTCATTCTAAATTCAGAATATGATATTGGTATAACAGGAAACTTAAAGACGGTGCAATTTTTCTATTAATTCGAATACACGCATAATAGTTATATTAGTATCGTTATGCATCTAGATACACGTTATCAAACGATCTGACAGAAATTAGTAAAAAAAAAATGACATATACGAGGAATCCTTGTATCGTAAGAAACATAGATAAAAAAGATGAATTCATGGACGGTCACCCTGTACATATTCAATACATAGTTTATACATATAATTAAAACACTCTTCGAAATACTGTAAAATTTCACAAAATACTTCTCTCGTAACAAGGTATGGATGAGACTCCTATGGGTTGGACTGATGCGATCAATAGTCGAAATTCGGAAGTAGAAAACGAATAGCCAGGGATACAGGGAGATTTCGATAGAATCATAAGAAGCAACATCAAAAACGAGTAAACAAAAAAACAATAGAAAGAAGTAGAAATTCGAAACGGAAGTAAGATTTCGACGATTTTAGGGATTCGATTGATTTTCATTTATACATAAAAAAAGAATATATATCCTAGAGAATGAGAGAGAATAAGGGTGTAAGAGAGATACGGCCAAAATTTTAAGAAATGTTCTAACCATCTAAGCCGAGCCAAGACGTTTAAATAAAAAGAGTGTATTTAACGAAGAACATACGTTTTGCACAGGACAACGTATGCAGTTTGTAATAAACATAAATAATTTAAAGGATATATATATATATATATTATGATCCTCACTTATCTTCTCTTTACTCTTATCAACGAATTGATGCGTAATATGAATAAAATTAACGAGGTAATAATAATAGAATTGCACGAGTTTTCTGCGGCCGGTTGTAAGGGCGCTCAGTCATTCACAGCACACTCTCCTCGAATCTAAAAAAGAGGAAAGAAGAAAGAAAAAAACAGAAAAAAGGAAGAAGAAAATTGGCCAAATGTATGAAAGAGTAAGGTGTCTGTGTCAAGTATTTACACAAATAATAGCAAAATTGGAGATGGAGAAGAAAGTGGTGGTAGACGTATTATGTGTGTCAGGGCTTGCTTGTTGAACGATTTCGCAGGGAGAAGAATTCTTTCCTCCGTATTCTTTCGTCGGCATAGGGAGATCCGTCATTTTTCCCCACGAATCGTAAAAATTCCATTTGTGGAAAAAGTATCGTGGTATATAAGTCCCATAGCGGAGAAAAAAATGTTTCTTACTCGACGAGAAGGTTTATTTTTCTTTCTTCTCTCGACGTTGCATGTGTATATTTAATAGCGTGCGACGACGACGAGGTCGAACGACGATGACGAGGTCATATTACTCGTACGTTTTACCGATACAGTTCGCGCTATATTATTTAGCGTGGCACGAGGATATATCCTTAACGATAGGAGACTTTGCGGCCACATCTATAGTTTTTCTTCTCTCATATGGCTTGAAAAGGGCTGTAGAAGGGCTCGCATAGTTGGTGCAGCGGTGACAGCAGGAGCATAACGATGAGACGAAAGCTCAATCGGACAACATGTCGGCAGGAATGAAGTCACAAGAGCTCGTATTGACGTAAGTGCATCCGCTGAATGATGTCCCGACAATCGTTGAACACTCTCTTGATATTTTCTGTGTCAACGGCGCAGGTGAAGTGTGGGTAGCAATAGTGTTTACCATCTCCGCTGGCTGTGCTTATACGCTACAAATAGTAACGACGTTTTATTGTTAGTTACGATAGTTGAATTAACATTAACGCGACCAGCTGTGATTAAAGTCACGAGACGTTTCGTTATAATAAGAGAGAACGAACGATTGTAAAGAAGAATAATAATAATAGTAATCAAGTTATATAATAGTATATGTAGACGAGTAGAGCTAATGAGAGCCGTGGATCGGACCGGACCGAACAAATTTTAAACGTTCCGAATGGCTTCTCTCTTTTTCTTTCTTTTTTTATCCTTTCGTACTTACGAGAAATTCATCTCTGATGAAGTACTTGGCCCTTAAAACGTCGGGAGGTTCCGAGGGATCTGTGACTACGCCGGGTTCGACTGGCGTTTGATAACGAGAAAAGTCAGGAAAATAATCCTCCAATTTATGTTTTCCCGCTTTTATCTTCTCTGCTAATAGATCCTGTTTATTCAAAAATAAAATCACGGAAATTGTGCGGAGCCATCTGGAAAACAAAAAAGATGAAAGTAAAAAATAAGATATCAAGTTAACTAAGTAAGACAAATCTGTACGATATTTAGGTATTTCTTACCGATTGTTCCAAATACTTTTAAAGAGATCGAGACTTTCCCGGAGCCTCAATTTCGTCGGGTCTTCCCTGAGTACCATATTATAACTACTACATGCTGTTACAAATATGATCGCCGTTACGTCATTGAAACATTGTATCCATTTTCTCCTTTCGTCGCGTTGTCCACCAACGTCGAACATGCTGTCAATAACGAAAGATAGTTTTAATAATTACTTAATTTATTCGTCCTATCATTCCTATCATTCCTGTTTTTATTTTTCTCTATTTTTTTATATTAACCAACACGACGAGGACGAGGACGACGAAGACGACAATGACGATATTTTATACTCCTCGAAGGACGTTCTTGAGAAAGCGCTGTTAGATGAGAACAAAAATCGATTCTCTTGGAAGAATAACCCGTTTTCTTTAGTCACTTTTTGCGAGATTCATACATACATACATACATACATACATACATACATACATACATACATACATACATACATACATACATACATACATACATACATACATACTTCCTAACAACGAACGCGCGCGCGATCGTGCAGGAGGCAAAACGACGGAGGAGAGAAAGGGATTGAAAATCTGGAACGTCGTAGATACAACTTGACACCGGCGAGTGAACGCAAAAAGGGAAAATATGATAAAGTTCCGAAGGCATTAGCGCGTGTAACGGATTTCGCTGTACGTTTAGCGTATAACGTCGACATTGTATAAACGGCGCCGTTACTATGACGATGCCGACGCTGCTTTGCGTTATATTTACCGTGGCCCGATGTTACTGTAATACGTTGGCTATATATAGTCAGACAACACACTGGAGTAAAGCAAGGAGGTATCGCGTGGAACTTACTGAAAGTTTACTTTGTCCACCTGAAACCGGGTTTCGAAAATACCGGATGTAAGAACTCGACACCTCAGGATATCCTAAAACATCAAAAGAGAAAAAACTACATTGCTCGATGTCTTTTCATATGTATATGTTTGATTTTCAATTATATCGAAAATAAGAGAAGATGAAAAAAACACAGAGTTAGTAACCTGAACCATACTATCAATTATGTAGAACAATTTTATGAAAGCATGCATCGAATGTAAAATTGTACCTTATTACTTTTTTTTTTTTAATTGAACTCTACAAATTGTATTCACTTAGATTGTAATATCATCCTTCATAAATGATATGTTTAATTATCAGCAACATTGTATCCACACAATTGAACAGAATTCTCATTCGCTTACAAGCTATTGTAATTTTTAAAAATTTTCTTCAAACCACGGCCTGCGTACAAAAACCGCATCGAAATGGGTTTTACAAAGTAACAAAAAAATGTTTATTGTTTTAATAAGATATACGCAAATGTGTGTGTAAATAATGAGGCAACATAAGTTAGTATGGAAAAAATGCGAAAATTATGTTTGATTTCAAGTACAACATCCTTGTTAGTAGACATAGATAACAGCAAACAGCTATGCGATACGATCAAAAATTGTTCTATTTAAAAAAAAAAAGAGTTCAATTGCATTTCTTTAGCAATGTTTGTCTATCTGTAAAAGAAACAAAGTAAATAGTTCGGCCCAGTTACCAATAACATCATTTAAGTGTATGTATACGTATATATAGATAGATAGATATATATATGTTACCTGTTCCGTTGGCGTGTAGTCCGGTTGTTTTACAATAGCTACTTTGTCTAGAAAACTGAAACAAAAGAGAAGACATTTGGTAAGATTTTAGGCATTATTCATAATTCATAATTAAAAAATAAACGTATGAAGACAACAATTGATTCATATTTCTTCCTATATAAAATGTATCCTTCTTAGTCATCGTTCGCTTTAGTATTATATCGTTGTAGCATTCGACCAAAATCCACGTTGAAGTCGTTATTGATCTATACTGCTTTTCCGTAATGACAATCATCGGTAATCAACCACATCGTTATTCCGAGGCCACTTTCTACTTACGTATGCGGTCATATGACAATGCGGACCTCTCTCTTTATGTTCCTACTTCTAACAAAAGAATAAGAGTTGACCAAACTCTTTGCGCCAAACACCGTAAATACAAGAAGTTTTTTTTTTTAAATAACCAGTAGTCTCTTTACGTTTATCGATAAAACAAACACGCGAACAAAGTAAACGAAAAAGACAAAATAATTCCTCTATCCCTGCACCCTCTTCATAAAAAGAAATTGCGTAAAATAATTCGCGACTAAAATGATAATCCAGTTCAAATGCATGACATAGATTCGAATTAAATTTGTCCTTAATACATTAAGCATCTCCCCCCCCCGTTGATTAGAAAAACGAAAATGAATCCGGTCGTCCTGTTAGATTCGATCCACCTACTCTATATATTCTACTACGAATGATGATATATACAGAGAGAGAGAAAAAATACAGAATAATACAGAAAGGAAAGAGAACTAATGAAAAGAAGAGCATCATCGAACGAAGGTGTAGAATATATAGGAACGAGAAGGGGAAAGAGAAGGGGCTGGAGAAACGGGTGGTGGTGGTCGTCGCCGTCGATGTTGTTGCAAAATGTATGGCAAAGAAGACAGAACAGAATAGTTAAAGAATGGAAAAATGGTTTGAAGGTGGTGGAATGAAAGATTGAAAAAGAGTGGAATATTAAGGGTGTTGAAGAAGATAGAGAAAGAGATAGAACGTGAGAGAGAAAGGTGTGTATGTGTGTTTGTATGTGCAGGCGCGCGCGCGCGTACGCTGTCTTTTCCCACCCTCGAGTCTTTACGTCCCTACTCCCTGCCTCTCTCCCGCCCTCTAATCCACCCTTCTTTCCTATCTCCCGTACCACGAGCAGAGGGAGCGCACGAAGAGGGAAAATCGATCCTCGGCGGTGTCCTACCCTAACCCCAACCCTTGCCACGTTGGCCTCGCCGGGTGTGCACATACGCCCCTCTGATATCCATTTTTCAATTCAGGTCATGGGTCACTGCCATCGGTACCCGTCATCAATCGTACATACATACATACAGGACATTAGGATGTATTTTCTAAGCTCTATATTCTATCCTCTTTCTTTCTCTCTTTCTCTCGCGTTAAAACATTAACACAAATGCTTCGTCGTTCTCAATGTTATTTCAACAACAACAAAAAAGAAATAATAAAAGGTTTTTCTAACCGTTGTACGTTAAAGTTCGAAAAGATGGCAATTAATTCGTCGGAAAGAATACTAATACAACGCTACGAGATGAATATAGTTTATATACTGTTCCTTCTTATTATTTTTTTTTTTTTTAATAACTACGGGGAAAAATCATTTCTAATTTGCTACAAATATTTCTTTCATTCTTTTTTTCTTCTTCACCCTATAAAGTATGCTTCTTTTTCATGAACAATATTTTATGATAGATCACTTTACTCGAGATAATTATGGAGGCCCACCTAAGGCGACCTTAATAGGTGGCTCGTTACGACGAAGGATATAAAGTCGGGTTGTTTAGAAAAAAAAAAAAAAAAAAA